ACTTGGCTAAGGAATTAGCATTTTATCTTCTCCCTCAGTTGTTGTTTTACCATTCTCTCATAGTTCTCTTTTTACCTGTTGAACTCAGTATCTTTTCAGGGTTTATCATCTGTTTCCTGTCTCCTGTGTATAAGTATTTATAGGGGTCTGTTCTGGGCCCTAGCCTCTTACAACAGCCTTACTTTTGGTGATCTCATCTACTCCCATGGATTCAACTATCAACTATGAAGAATCCCAAATCTACATATCCAGCCCTTACCCATCTTCTGAGCTCCAGTGTTGTATCTCCAATTGCCTACTTAATTGGTCTTCCTGTGTCCATTCTCTCCTCATTCTATTTCATCTTCCATAGAACTGTGAGAATGTTATTTCTAAAGCATAGGTCTCACCATGTCACCTCTCCTGGCCTGTGGCTCTCATCTGACTGTAGGATCAAATATAAACTTCTTTATTTGGCATTAAAGCCCTTCACATCTGGCTCCAGGCCATTACTGCTCCTTGAGCATTTTACATTCCAGCCAGACTAGCCTACTTGCTACTCCTTGTCCACAATATCCCATGTCCTACCTCCATTTGCACAGGCCCGTATCTGAAATGCTCTTCCTCCATCCTGCTTCTGCTTAGAATTCTTCCTTTGAGGCTAAGCTCATGTGCCAACTTCAAGAGGCCTCTCCTGATACCCCTAGTTGTTAGTGGCTTTTCATTTGATGTATTTAATATACATATGTATGTTGTATGTGTTTATAGTTTTAAAAAATTTATACAGACCTCCCTGTGAACATATTGTAACCCCCTAGTAAGCTCCTTACAGGTAGAGACTCTCACTTTTGTATTTGTATCCCCAGCACCTAACACAGTACCTGTAACCACTTAATATTTGTTACTTGATTAATCCTTGAGGTATTTTGCCATTGAAGGTTTTTAAGCTGGGCACATTCATGATCATATTTGTGCCTTAAGAAGACTATTCTGGCTGTTTTGGGGAGAATGGATGGGGGGCATTAGACTAGAAGTAAGAATTTCAATTAGGCTACTACTATAATTCAGGTAAGAGGGAGTCTAAATAGGGTGATGGTTGAGTGAGTGGCGAGTAGGGAATAGATGTGAGATACATAAGTTTGGTTTTGCTGATCTTTGTATTACTTCATATAGGTCTTTCCAATTATTTTGTATTGTTTTGTTTTGTTTTTTTGTCATTGGGTTTTACACATGCTAATATGATGAAAATTCAGTGAATCAAGGAGTTACAGATCTGAGAAAGGTGGGCTCTGTGTCACTCTAGCAGGTTAAATTCTGACTTCTCATTGCAGCAATTATAATGAGGGCTCCTATGGGCTTTTGTTACCCATTTCAATTCCTTCATTTAGCACCAAATGCCTCTCCAAATGAGTGATTATGTGGTAACCTTGTATCCAAACTAGGGAGGGATAAAGGAAATCCATATATAAAACATGTATCCAAAGGAGATTTTTAAAAAAGGATATTATTTTTTATAGCCAGTTGGAGAGGGGAACGGGGCTGTTGCGGATGCCAAAATGTAGCTACTCCAAAGCTACTCTCTTTCCTTTTTTGTATAGGAAAAGTCACATTTCTGTTGTATATTAGACATGCTCCTTTCCTCCTTTTCTTGGATGTCAGGGTAGTGATTGGTAGGGACCAAGGTATTATCTGCTATTCTTGTTTTCATAACAATAATTTAGGATCGTGGAGTGCAATGGTTGGTTGAGGATGAGAATGTAGGAATGAGATATTCCTTCACTCAAGATCAGTAAACGGGGAATCTAGAGGTTCTTATTTATCATGCCAGGGGCTGTGGGACTACCTGGGCCCTTCATTGCTAAGCAAAGAGGAAGATACCTTCTCTGCTGCTTTCAGGCTTGGAAACAAAAAGCCAGGGGCAATTAACATAGGATATATGCCAGTTAAGTATCAGGAAAATGGCCTTGGGTTATTATCTGATTGAGAACTCATACAAACTCTATAGATTTTTGCCCCCTTTGGGCAAGTGGAATGTTTGCTCACATGGGTTGGGGACAGGGGAAGGAATAAACTTCCCATACACAAAGAAAGATACTAACAAGTCCTTATTAGTATAACTATATATAATATGTAGCTCTTTATAGGTATATAACATGGATATAATGTGTGTATGTGTGTGGTCTTTGCAGTCATTTACTGTGGACAAATCACTTAACCTCTCCCAACCTTAGTTCCCTTAGCTGTAAGATAGAAATAATAATAGCAGGTACTTCACAGGGTTGTTGTGAGGAACAAATGAGATGTGTTGAAAGTGTTTTACAAACCTTAAGGCTAGCTACTGTTTTTATTGTTTATTAGCAAGCAGTTCATTTAGGATGAGGAAGAATTGCTATGAAGTTATGAAATATAAAGCCATAATAAGAAAAGTGTAGAAAGAATCACAGAGACCAGACATTAGGGAAAGCATTGTAGCAGTTAAAGTACCACATAGGTGTAGCAGACTTATTTGCCTTGGCTTCTTTGACATGGCTCTCCTACCTAACTGCTTCTTGTATGTCTCTTAATGATCTCCTTGGCTCCCCTAGGTTCAATGCTTGTTCAGGTACAGGGAACTTACATATCTCTGTATCTCATATAGCTCTAAATCTGGCCCCAATCTCTTTCCTGAACTTCAGAAGTCTTACAATGCCAACTGTCCATATGTTCCACTGATATCTCAAACTCATCATGTCAAAATGGAACTCTTCTCCCCACCCCCACCCTGCCCCAAACCCAGGGAACCTCTTCCAAACTTCCTTGCTCACATGGCTAATATGGAAATATGTTTTCTGTGACTTTGCATGTATAATTGATATTATATTACTTGCCTTTTCAATGGGTACAGGAGGGTCAGCAGGGATAGAGAATCTGGAAATCAAATTTTTTTTGAAAATCAATGTTAAAAATAAATAAATAAGCACAAATAGCAGACAAACAAATAAAGGTGGGGGGAAGAACCCAGACTTCCTTGTTTGTGCTGAGGGTACCACCACCTTCCCAGTCAACAAGATTTATGTTCTCAGCATCATTCTTGGCTTTTCACTCTCCTTCACTTTCCATATCCAATCAGTTGTCAAGTTCTATTGATTATACTTTCATAATCTCTTCTTTTTCAGAATACTCACAACCAACACCCTAGTTCAGGACCTTATCATCTCACATAGCTGTCAAAAAGATTGTTTGATGATACCATTTCCCTGGTCAAAAACCTAGAATGGCTCACTGATGCTTTTAGGATAAAATAGAAACTCCTTACCCATTGCATTTAATACAATATGGCTTTGATCCAGCTTTCTATCTAAACAAATACTACCTTTCAACCAAAATAGACTATGTACTTCTTCACAAACTTAACATGCCTACCTTTATCATTCACACAAGCTGTCCTTTCCTTGCCCTTCCCCACCTCTGACTTTCAGAAACATTATTTTTCTTTAAAGCTTACTTCAGTTACTGTGCCCTCCAGGAAGCCTTCCTAAATCCCCCAGTTATTAATGTTCTCCTTTCTCAAACTACCTTGTTTATCTGTGTGTCGTGAGGTTGAATTGGCCTTGGAGAATGTTCAGAGTTGCCATTACTGATTCTGGTTGACCACATGGAAACTTTGAGGCCCTGCTTCCAGCTACCTGTGGCTCAGGGCTTGCACTTTGAAATGAAGGAAAGTTTCTTTGTGGTAGATGTGGAGTTGGAAGGGGTGATGACTCAGTGAATGTATAAAAGGGATAGACTGCCCCCTCTCTTTTCCTTTCAGTTGGCAAATCATGTCAGTTCTGTGGAGTAGGAGAAGTAGACTGCCCTAACTCCAACCTTGACCTCCATGTAGCTATGAGCACATGGCATTGTGTCTTCCCTAAGCCTCTTTTGTGTTTGTTCTTTTCTGATTTTAGGCAAGCAGATATTTATCCCACAATCCATGTGTCTATGCTCAGAGGCAACCTTCTGAGTGATAGAGGTCTTGGACCCATGGGGAGCTAAATGGTGGCAAGGGAGGAGTCCATGGCAATCTCTCTGGCTCTCTTAGAGAGAATTGGCCCAAAGCTGGCTGTTGTACAAGCACTTTCTGAGAGATGGTTCAAAGCTAAAGGGGAAAAGTAAAATGAGTAATTGTTGTTCAGTTGTATCTGTGACCCCATTTGGGATTTTCTTGGCAAAGATGCTGAAGTGGTTTTGCCATTTCCTTCTCCAGCTCATTTTATAGATGTGGAAGCTGAGGCAAACAGGGTTAAGTGACTTGCCCAGGGTCATACAGCCAGTAAGTGTCTGAGGCTGAACTCAGGTCTTCCTGACTGGGGTGGGGTGGGGACAGTAGGGATGGATGTTTTATCAGTCTTAAAAAAATACATAGTTAACATTTCTAAAAACTGCTTTCTACATTAAGGTTAGGTCTCAGCCTCTCAGCATATTGTAATAGTAGTTAGAAATTTTTTACTGAATCCTGTTTTGTCTTTTTGTTAATGCAAAATATGAGCCTTTTATGTTTAGCATTTCTTTTGGTCAGAGAGGAAGTGGAAGATCACTTTTCTTCCTGAACCCTGCTTTGACCATCCATCTATACTACAGCTTCAGCCCCCCTCAGGCACCCTCAATCATTTTCCCTTTGCTTAGTTTCCCCACGCTCTCCAGCACTCCTTCCTGATTCCCCACAACCCTTTATGCTTCCTAAGTTCCTTAGCCTCCCCCCTCCCCCCCTGCTTTTTTGCTGTAGGATTTAGATCTGAATTGTAGGATTAAATTGCCCAGTTCACATTGTAACTGAGTATTCTTTTTTTAACTTCCCCTTTTTACCCTTCACGTCAGTCAGACCTAAGCTTTCTGTAAAAACAGATCAGAGATACCGGGGCAGAGGGCTAATGAGCCGAGGAGTGTGAGAAAAGGGGGCCTAGCCCCTTTCTCATTAGAGGCCAGGCTCCACAGGACTCAGCCCAGTCCAAATCATGGGCCTGGAGTATAGAACAGAGATTCTTCTTTTTGTTATCCCCAGGCACAAGGCTTAAGCAACTTTTATTGAAATTGAGTTGGCAAGAATAGCCTTTTGTTTGAGGGCTATTCACGGCCTGTTTTGTTACCTAGGTGTACACATGTATTAAACATACACACATTTAATCCCAGTGGTCACTGGGAGAAGAAAGGAAAGACACTTCCTTGGTTGTTCTGTTCCCTCCCCTATTCCAGACTTTTTGTCAAATCGAGTGTTGTAATTTTTAGTAATTTTTTTCTTTGAATTCTCAGTCACTAAGTGGGTCCATGGAATTATGTATGGAAATGCCTTCTAGGACAAGGAGTGAAGAGTGGGTAGGGGAGCAAGGGCTGGTTGGGGTAGCTCTGAGTAAGCCAGGAAAATGATTTCTCTGGAAAAACAGGACAATTCTCAGATTCCCCCCTTCAGAAAAGTTGGCAGACCTGGACCTCCAAACTCAAGAGAGAGTCCACAGCACAAAAACAGGATTTCAGGTTATGAACATTGATTTGCCTTGCCCTAATTTTTTTTTTTTTGGAGGGGGTCAGAAAGCCAAGGACTTGGGGAAGGGAAAGTGGGTATAAGAATGATTGAGCAGATACTGCTCTCTAACAGATATGATCATCCCCTTAAGAGGAATATAACTGCTTCCTCTTACATTATATACAGAGACATCCATTTAAAAGGAAGGGGGCAAAATAAGAAATGGGATCAGCCGCTAGCTAGCCGGCTAGCACCCTGAAATTTAATGGAAAAGGATGTGTAAAACGAAAAGGATCTAGAGAGGAAGAAGTTGAGAGAATGGGTGGTCCTGAGAAAGGGAGATATACAAGACTGGATGCTGTGACTCCTCCACCTTCAGAAGTTGTTGTCAATGTTCCAGACATCTCCGCTGAGGGCATTAGCTGCTCCCTGCAGGGTCCAGGTGAGGAGAGCCAGCTGGCGGCGTAAGTGGCTCTCTTCAAAATGAGGTCTTGAATATCTTAGAGAGCCATTCACAGCCCCCTCGTCCCTCAGCAGCTGCAGGTGCTCAAGTAAGGCCCCCAGAGTGTGGTCCCCTTGACCCAGGAAGATGTGACGGAATGGGTAGATTGCTGGTGACACATACTGGGATAGGAAGTAGAATTCTACCTGCCACAAGAGGCATAAGGAGTGGTCAGAGAGGAAGCAGAGGATCACTTTTCTTCCTGAACCCTACTTTGGCCACCCATCAATACTACAGCTTCAGCCCCACTCAGTCACCCTCAATCATTTTCCCTTTGCCTAGTTTCCCCACTCTCTTCAGCACTCCTTCCAGATTCCCCACAGTTCTTTATGTTTTCCCAAGTTCCTTAGCCCCCCTCTTCTCCCTGCTTTTTTGCTGTAGGATTTAGATCTGGAAAGAATCATTGATCATCTAGCCAAATCCTTTTTTTTTTTCAGATGATAAACCTAGGGAGGTTAAACGATTTGCCCAGTGTCACATAGGTAGTCACATACTTCTCACCTCACCACTTGGTTCTATAGCTACCCTGACTCTCTCCCCCACTTTCCTCACTAACACTTCCCAATTCCATCTAATCTTGCCATCTGCATCCTTTAATGATCTGAGCTTTCCATGGCAACCCTGTCCCTTAACAACTGCCTCAGTTCTCTTTCCAACCACAGAAGCCTTTCCCCCTCATCTCAATTCACTCTTCCTAATTCTTTCCTTATCCCTGGACAGATAATCTGGGGTTTATACTGTCAGTGACATTATAGGTAACATTCTAGTGAGAAGTTGTTGATAGTAAACAGCCAGGGAAGAGACTGGATCCCCTCTCTTGCATCATCAATTTCTTCTTGTTCCATTGGCTTCTTCCCCTGTCTACAAGTATGCTCAGGTCTTCCTTTATTCTGAAAACACAGCAATAACAAATCCTTCCCTATATTTGCTGAATCCTTCAAGCCCTATTTCATTCATCTTGTGGTGAAACATCTAGAAAGAGTATGAATAGTATACTTTGGATGTCTTTACTTCCTCATTATCCACTCATAGCTCAACTCCTATCAGTCTTCTAAACCAACTCTTCCCTGAGTGAAAGGTGACCTCAGCTGCTAAATCCAGTGGTCTTTTCTCATTTCTTATCCTCTTTTAACTCTATAGCATTGACTTCTTTGGCATTATTCTCTCCTGATTCTCTTCTTCTTTAATTATCCTCCTGCCTAAATGTAGGTGTCTTTCCCTGGTCCTTTTTCTCAATATTCTCTCTCATTTTGTAATTTAATCCCAATCAAATCTGGGTAGCTCAATACTTCAATCCTTGACCTTCTTCTCTTTGTTCATTCTCCCCTAGTGATCCTAGGTGGGAGAGGAGAAAGATGAAGGAATAGGAAAAGGGGGAAGATTAAAGGAATTGGAGAAAAGAGATGGGAAAGGAGAGGGAAGATAAAAGCTTGGAACAAGACAGGGAAGTGGGGGTGGTGGGATTGGAGCTAGACACAGGAAAGAGAATGAGAATAGGGAAAGGTCAGAGGAATAGCCTTGGGGTGTAAGACCCAAAAATCAGAGAAGAGAAGCAATAACAGCAAAAGCTGTCGAGGAATAAGGTTTCTTCATCTTGCTAACTGGGGTGGCTGGGGTTGGGGCTGCCCTATGACAGTAGTTATAAAGATAAGGCTGACATATGAGTCTGACTTACTCTCATAATTCGGACATTGTACATTCGCATCAATCTCTCATTGCTCTCCTCTGAGCTGTAGATCTCTTTCTGTAGCTTCTCAGCTGACCGAATGTAGTCTCCACGTGCTGAGTATATCCACTGCAGGGTCAGACCCCGGGCCTAGAGGGTAGAAAGGGACTAAGGATAGCACCAGAGTGCCAAGGGAGGAAGTAGGAAGCAGAATTTGGGGGCTTTAGGGAATAGAGAAGTGAAAGGCTGGAGATCAGGACACAGGTTTAGAGAAATGAAGGGAGATAGGAGTGGGGGCAGGACTAAGTCCCAAAGGGACTAAGATTTGGAATACAGGATTCAGGGAAGAAATCTCAACCCTGGCTAGGGACTGATATCCAGATTCTAACCTTGAGATCCCCAGAGAACTCATTGAGTCTGCCAATGTGCTTCAGGATGACATCACCATAGCAGCCAAAGTCTAAGGGTAGCAGGTGATCATGGCTGAGCCGGATGAGTAGTTGGCCCACCACCATGGCCACAGCCCGGGCCACAGCTGGCAACCGCCCTTGTAATGCTCCATGCAGATTCTTATATGTATCTTCTTTGGTGTTCAGGAAAGGGTATGGTGGGCCTTTCTGATGACAAAAGATAGAGAAGAATAAGGTCCATAACAATTGGGGATACAGAAGGGTAGAGTTTGGGGATGGGACAATGGGTCTAGGATATGGAATGGTGGGTAAGGTTGGAATGATGGGGTTGTAACAGAGGGAGCATATCTGTAGGTGGGGGTGAGATGGGGCTTACCTCAGTGAATGAGAACTCAACAGCAGGGACCCCTCCAAAGGCAGTGAAGGAGTAAGCACTGCTGTCCATGGGCAGGGGCCGGATTCTGAGGATGGGAGGCATGGCCAAGAGTAGCCAAAAGTGGAGAACAATTCCCTGCTCAGATTTCCCAGATCCCAGTAGGATACCAGCACCACCATTACCACCGAGATCTGTCCCTCCCCCTTCCCTCCCTTTCCATGACAGACTTGGACATCCCATCCCCTGGAAGCCTGTCACTTACACCTCAGCCTCCCAGCTCTGGCCTGGAACCACCACCTGATCATAGAGGGTTTGACCACTATGATTGGGAGAATCCACCTAGATCAGGAGAAGATAGAGGAAAAGACCTCAATGATCAGACTTCACCTAGATTTCTGATCCCCCTGGACCCTACTTTTGTTCTCTCTAGCCTCTATGGCATTAGGCAAGTCACTTCTCAATTTTGGGTCCCAGTTTTCTCTATGAAAGGGAAGGGTTGAATGATGTACTTTAAGGTTCCTTTCAGTTCTGACAATCTGCGGATCTATGCCTTCTTAGGGCCCTCACCTGCTTTAGGATGCTCTCAATGAGGCTGGTGAGAAGAGGGCTGGTTTTTGCATGGAACTGGTCATCCCCTGAGGAGAGAGGTGGAAATGGGAAGACAATTAGGCTTAGGTTCAAGTCCTAACTCCTCTTCCACAGGAAAGCTTAGCGCTCAGCTCACCAAGCACAGCATTGTCCAGGCTCACGTAGACAGCAGCTTTGAGGTGCAACATGGTGAGGTAGCCCTGAAGGAGAGAGAAAACTAAGGACAAGCCCACTCCCAGCACCCAGGACCACCCTAGACTCTCTCCATTTCTGGCCCATTACCTCCAGCCATTCAGTGGCTCCCACATTCCCAAAGTCACCAGCATCCCAGCTGACAAAAAGCAGACTTCTTCGAGGCTGAAAACCTGATGAATGGGAAGGAAGGGGGTAAGGAAGAGTAATTACCTTTCTCATCCTTATTTCATTGGCCACCCCTAGAGTTGTTATCACCTTGTCCAACTTTTAGTTCTTCACGTGCTCCCATGTACCTCCAATCTCCCCTTCCAATCCCTGGTTTGGAATCTTCCTTAACGTCTTTCTCCCCAGCCCTTCCCTGGGCTCTGGCCCCAATCCTGTCCTGGGACCTCCTCAAATCTTAGTCCTCTCTTACTTCTCATTCCTGAGCCCTTCTCTCTCTACCTCCCTGACCCTAGTATCTTGGCCCTGGCCTTACCATTCCTCATCATGGCAGAGAAGGTGCGTACCAGCTCCAGCAGGAGGGCTGTGCCCACAGCGGACTTGGCTGCCCCTGGACCCCAGGCATCTCTCTGGGCCCCAATGACAATGTAATGATCTGGGGCAGGAAGAAAGAGTAAACATGTGAAGTAAGGGGGCTGGGTCTGAATCTTTAATGGTACCTAGGAAAGAATTGATTTTTCTTAGTTCTCCTCCATTACTCACACACACACACACACACACACACACACACACACACACACACACAC